GCAGGGGGGCGTTGCATCTGGCGAAGCATTTCTCTGGAGTTGGTTAGCGCGCGTTCTTTTTGATACCTACCCGCAGAGTGATGATTTTGATACCTGGTAATATATCGACAGGAAGGATGGGCAAAAACTTTGGGTCTGTCGTGCCATGTGAATACGACGAAAGGACTTGGCTGCGCTTGAAAACTTTGTTCATTGACTCGTTGATCAGAGGACCGGTGTTATCTCGACGCAGGGGAAGACTGTACCACAGGTGGACTGCTCGGTGTGTGTTGGGTGGATGACGGCGTTGATTTGTCTCGGCCGTGAGGTTGTGTTCTCTGAATAATTTGTTGCCTTGCGGCTGTACGACTCAAGGGAAGTTGGCAATGATACTGCGAAGCGTTAGTGCGTTAAAAGGCCAGGAACCTATTGTTTTCTTGTCCTTCCCGCTTTGTCTCCGATTTCATTTTCCATTTATCAAGGTCCCTTCCTACCGAAGTATCGATCAACTGACAACCGAGCCTCATGTCAATAACGCGCAGGGCACTTTCTTGTCTCCTCAACCGCTTTTAGTATTTGAATAGCATAGCGACGAATACACAGTTGCGGAAACGCGCCTTATTCGGTCGTCAGCAAGACAACAACATCGGCCCCTTGACAACCGAATTCCCAGCCACAAACCGAAGCTGCAGCACCTCCTGCTACCTAGGCCATCCAGCCGGACGATAGCGACCGTCATCGCCGACTCTGGACAGTGAACTAGCTTGCGGCTCTACAAATCTGCCGCGTTCTGCTGACTTCGAGTTTCGGTCGGCAACGAGATATTCCGATATCTGGAGCGGTATCCTCTGCGCATTCCAGGTGGCGGAGAACGCCATGGCCGCCTTGGACTGCACGTCGTCGGGCTTCATCACCGAGTTTTGTATATCTGCGGCGCTCACCATGGCCCCCCCTGCCATTCAGATCCGATGGCGACCTGGCGATATTTCGACCGTGCTGCCTACTCAAACGGACGATGACCTAGCCTCCCTGCCGACCCCATCGTCTCCTTCACCAGGAACTGTTTACACGGAAGATAACTCAGCCTCCCTGCCGACGACCCCATCATCTCCTTCATCAGGAACTGTTTACCTACCAGCAAGTACCGCAAGCCTAACAGACACCCCCAAGGACTCTGCAACGGCGACAGCGGATTCCGGGACACAATTATCCGCCGAAGCTATCGGCGGCATCGCCACCTCGCTTTTGTTCGCCGTACCCATCGTCGCGGGACTTTTCGTATGGCTCGTCAAGCGGAGGAGGAGAAGGCTCGCAAGAACAACCGTCGACACCGAAAAAGATTCCGAGAAAGAAGCGGCTCAGGTGGCGAAGTCGACCGGGAGAACGGAGGCAGCTGAGTTGCATGGAGACCACTTGTTGGGGCCGTTTGAGTCGGAGGGCAGTTTTGTGCCTTGCGAGTTACCGGCGCACTTTTTTTCTGTAGATGAAGACTAATCGGGATGTATTCGAATCGATGATATTTGTCTTCGATTCCATATGTACTGGATTGCTGGAGCGCGAGCTTCACGTTTCTGGCGTTGGCGTCGGTGTGGATCTTTTTTAGAGCCAGGCAGTGGACAGATGATATCTTTTATTGCTGGGATCTGCGGGATGGTCTTGGCGATATGGGCTATGTTGGAAAGGGAGATTTACGGGGTCCGCCTCTCCTGTGCTTCTTTCACTTCGGTCTCTCAAGTTGTCGCACTTTGTTGCTGTGTCTCAAGGTGCCTTCTGTCCACCTTCAACGCTCACGTCCACCCCCGACCTCGGTCTAATGTAATCAACCGCGTTTCGCCTGCTTCCAGTACACATACTGCGGGTGTAATATCGGCACACTAGTGTGACTGACAAGAGATAAAAGGTACGGCCTCCAAATCATGGTCGAGAGTTAGCACTGATGGTTGGTTCGGGTAATCCATAGCTTCCACTGTGTCTCGGGCCCGCCAAGAGGCGGCTCCTCACGGAGAGGCAGATGCGGAGGTACCCAATCCAACGGGTTCAAACCCAGATACCTTCGAACAGCTCTGGTGCACAAGCTCAGACTCCTCGTTTCACTTGAACGTCATGCCATCCGGCTCGTGTCTCCCTTCAACCATCGGACAGGCCTGTCCCCGCTCAGTGACATGGAACACCGACGCAACAACTAGTTCTGCTGTACCTGAACATTGCGCTTCGATAGATCACCCCCTCATTTTGCTACCAAAGCATCTCGTCATATATTGCCAATGACCCAGCGTGGCTCACCAAGAGCCACACGCTGGCACAACAACATGGCTCTTACCACTTCGACAGCCACCGCGGCGGTGCGAGCTGCGGCAGACACCACGTACTTCAACTTCGGCCCTTTGACCACGCTTTTCGTGCCCGCGACATATTGCTGGAATACCTGCTGGGTCCCGGGAGATACATCATCAGTCAAATACCGCAGTGTCTGCACCGTTTATGACGGACTCTGTTACCCCACGGGAGGCTGTATGCCCACCGCCGAGAGCGCCTCCCCCTACGCGACATGGAGCTACGGCGGCTACTTCTCTCCAGGCCTCGTATGTCCACACGCATGGACCACGATTGCGTCTTTCACCAGCGGCATGTCGGAGGACGGGAGCGGAGCCCAGGACATCGTTTCTCGTCTCAGCGATGGGGAGACCGCTGCGTACTGCTGTCCCAGCGGGTTCGACATCCACCTCGAAAGACCAGACGACACTGCCGATTGGGCGCAGAGCGTCACACCGCCCTGTTGCATTTCGTCCACCACAACGGGCAGCTTTTCGTACTTCAGTTGTGACTATCAGAAATCGGGCGGTCAAGGGTCAGGATTCAGCCTCGGCTCGACGACGCTGAACATCAGGACAACTATTATGACGGAGTCCGCGTCCATCGACGACAACGGAAACACCCAGACGTGGACGACCACGCTTGACACGTACACGGAGATTCCTACAGTCTTCGATACCGCATACTCGGTCGTCCCGGCGGTCTTGCTGCTCTGGCGCTCCGAGGACAGAGCTTCTTCGGTAGCTAGCGTCGTCGTCACAACGAGCGTTGTCGTCACGAGTATTCTCGTTCAGAGCCCCCCTATCGTCACAGCAGTGTCTAATACACCGGTTGGAACGACGGTTACCGCGAGAGTAACGGAAACGGTCGGGCCGGCGACCATGGAGGGGACACCCGGCGACGACGACTGGTATCTTCCCCTGTCCCGGGGCGCGTTCGCGGGGGTCATCGTTACATCGGTGGTGGTGTTTGCCGTGGCGGCTACTGCACTGGCGTGGTTCCTTTGCACGAGGAGGAAAAGGAAGGGAGTAGGAGCAGAGGCAGAAACGTCCGCTGTCGGTATGGGAGACGCCGCCGGGGCAGAAGAGGTCAAGGAGACGCAGCCGACGCCGACGCCGACGCCGAATCTTCCTTCGGGGCCGGATGCCGTGTCTCCGCTTACTCCTCCGCCTCCGCCTCCGCAGCCACCTGAGCTATCGACGGAGCGAGGGGATCATGAAGCGTACGAACTCCACGCCGGACATGTGTCTGAGGTTTCGGCAGGAGGGTCGGAAGTTCGACATGTGCAGTGGTGATGGCGGAGTTACCTTCAAGAATACCAATTCATACGTATCGTTTCCCGACTCTAGTCTTGTTAAAGCGTGCGTATATCCCTGATAAAAAGATTCGCCAGCACCCAAGGCGTTCGGGTTCCGACGGTGAAAGCGGCTGATGCTGGGACTTTGGAGTTTGGACTTTCTGCGCAGATCAACCTCGTGTGTCTGGATATGGTGACAATGGAAACTGCAATCAAAGTTCCGAAGCTGGACGGAGAAAATGGTAGGCAGTCGACGACAACGTACCGGTAGTGTTGATCGTTCGGCCGACGACGGAGCCCCGATTCGTAAGTCCGAGGGGCAGCGGTGTGACGGCGTCGGCGACTAAACCCTATCGGCGACATCTTGGCATGCGCCGCGCCCTGCAGGGGCAAAGCCCCCGAGTCAGCACGGGATTTCGCGCCCATCTCGCGTCGCACTTGGCCGGCATCCTCCCCGCCACGTCTGGTGTGCTTGATGCGTGATTGGAAAACTGGCACAGCTGCAGGGGCCGTCTTCCTTCGGTTGTCCTATCTACGACGATGAGCTGACAATCGAGTCATAATCAGGGCGCGCGTCTGTGGCTCCGTGCATGCCCGGGTGTAGGTCTCCTGACATTAGTAATTGGGATTGATGGGAGGGATGTGAGTATAAAGGGAGGTTGTCTTTCCAGGCAGGTTTGGTGTCCAACTCGAACAACTACTTCTTCATCTCACAAGCCTCCTCCATCTAGTTCTCGACTACCTACCATTCCCAAGTTCTCATCAAACTCATAGACTCAAAATGACTATCAGCCACACTGGCATCAAAGTCCCCGTCGCGGACATCAAGAAGGTCCTGGATTGGTACGACGCCGCCCTCGCCCCGCTAACCTACAAGAAAGTCATGACCTTCGCCGAGGGCATGGCCAACGGGTACGCCGAGGAGGCGACGCCGTATGCCGCCGACTGGTGGGTCAACGCCGCCGGGGAGGGACAGACGCCTGTGGCTAGTCATCATGCTTTTGGCGTCAAGGGTACGTTTTCCCCTTTAACCTGCCGGGTTCAGGGTGGTCGTGGTGTGTGTGCTAATGAAGCCGTGACAGACCGGGCGACGGTGGATGCGTTTTACAAGGCTGCCATCGCGGCTGGGGGCACGGACAACGGGGCGCCGGGCGTGAGGGCGGATTATACACCTGATTATTATGCTGCTTTTGTGTTGGACCCGGCTGGGAATAACATTGAGGTTGTTTGCATGACGCCTCAGTGAGAGATGAGTTGCGGAAGGGAAAGTGATGGAGTTCGAACGATAGCAATAGGAATGACGTATTTTATTGCCTCGGTCAACTAGATTATTGTTTGGGTTCCACACCATGGATCGGAACTTTGAAGAGAGCACTGCATCTCGCACTAGAGCAGAGCAGACATCACAGCAGGGTCACAAGGGCGTAGCTAAGGGGTATAGCGTTCGCTTTGCAAATCACCGCGGTGGATTTCGGTCTATCGTGTTTCGATCTGCCTGCGAAAGGCCCTGGGTTCAATTCCCAGCTCGTCCATTGTCAACTGAGAAGCCATCAGTCGATTTCTTTTTGGTCCTAAAGTCGACTCGGTCCTCAATGAGTGCTTTTTATCAGTTGTATGTTGTGTAGTGGGCATGTAATTTCTGGGAGACACAGATGATTGAGCCCCTGATAATACAGAAGTTGACTTGTGATCATCGGCGTCTTGCGATTTTGAGACTCGGAAAAGAAGACACAGCATTACAACTGTTTTGCTCCCAATTCTGGGCAACAAAACCCTGTTGGAAGACCGTTGCAATAACGGATAGCTAGTCTTTTTTTGTCAAGAGATATCAATACCAAGTAAAAAAGGGGGGAGAGATGGTTCCCCTATTTCTCGCCACTGAGGTGAGGTGGGAACCAAAAAGATGGACAATACCGGATTCGAACCGGTGACCTTTCACAAGGCGCGTCGAAGCAACAATGCGAAGCGAAAATCATACCCCTAGACCAATTGCCCTTGGATGATTGGTTGAAGTGCTGGTATCCGACTTTATACACGTTTGTGCGGTTCGGACCTCCTGATGAAGAGGGTTGAGATGCCACTTTATGAGCTCATCCGGGGAGATCACAACTTGCCGTCACTGAAAAGCCGCGAGTCCGTAAATGATATTTCATTTTGACTTTATCTATGCAATATCCAAAAAAGAAAACACCAACGCCATCGCTAAATCGCAGTTGAACCACACAACGAAAAAGAAACCGCAGCGTGTTCACAGATTTCACACGACCAAAAGACCAGCCGCCACAGCGGCGATGCCGGCGACAAGAAGGTTTACCGCAGAACCCCTCCCGGCCGCCGACTTCGCCTTCCCCGTCGGATTCAACGGGTTAACCGTAGTCGACGCCCGACCCCCCGCGGGGCCCGGCCCGGCCCCAATGCCCGTAACATCCGGACTATTCCCACTAAAGATATTCGTCGGCTTCCTCGTCGCCGTCGCATCGATGCCCCCCGCCGTGGCCGTCGGCGCCTCGACCTCGGGACAATCCCCGACAATCCCGGAGGGTACCGCGTTCGCGCCAGACCCGATGGTGATGATATTTTGGGACGCTCGACAGCTCGCCGCCTGGGCGAGGTGCAGCGCGCGGTTGTCCTGGTCGTGCACGACGTAGGCGGCGCGCAGGAACGAGTCGCCCAGCACGGGCTCGTCGTCGGTCGGCTGGACGCCGAGCACGCACGAGCCGTCGTCGAGGTGCCAGGCGAAGTCGCGGTAGGGCACGGCGATGCGTTTAGACCCAAAATAAAAGTCGACGGTGCCGGGCTGGTCGAGCACGCGGCAGTCTATGATCCAGAAGCCGGATTTCGGGTCGAACTGGGCTGTTGGAAAAACTTCGAAGGCCTGGAAGATGGGCGTCGGCAGCTGCGAGAGCGTGCCGCCCGAGTCTGGGAAGACGGGGACCTCGATGGCGCCGGAGCGGTCGGCCGTGCCGTCGGGGAAGGTGAGGCCGATGCCGGTCAGCGTGATCCAGTAGCGGTTTGTGCCGCCGGGGGTTACCGAGGGGTCGAGCATCGGCACGCGTGTGAGGGAGCCGGAGAACTTGGACTTGTCGATGCCGCCGAAGACGACGGCCCCGGCCGGCTCGGTGATGCTGCGCAGGTCGAGGCTGAAGGCGCGCGATTTGATGATGCCCTGGTCGACGAGCGTGTCGAGCACGAAGGGGTACGGGCTGGTCGTGGCCGAGGCGAGGGCTGGCGACAGACCGAGGATGCCGAGGGGGATGTTGAACGAGTCGAAGCCGATGCCGAAGATCTGGTTGGTGATCTTGGCGGCTGTTTCTGTTATTAGCATCTTTGCACATTTTTATAGGTATACAGAAAAGAACGTACAGCCAATGGTTACGGTGTCCGTCACGTAGTCGATCGTCACATTCCCGCTGCCGTACCGGAGCACATCCGCAAACCCACTAACCTGCAGCGTGCTGCTGCGCGTGTAGTCGAACATGGGGTACGACAGACACTCGGACGGCTGGTAGGTCGTGTCGCAGCGCGGGTTGACCCACATGTCGGGCGACCCGGTGTCGATGATCAGCGTCAGCGGCTGCGCCGGCGTGCCCACGCCGATGTCGATGCCGTACCGCGTCCCGCCCTTCTGACCGACCACCTCGGCCTCCACCGCGGCCGCCCGCTTGTTGAGCGCCGGCACGCCCAGGATCGCGTTGACTGTTGCGTGGAGATAGCCATCGCCCCGTGTAATGACGGACCGGGGCCGTTGTGCCGAGGCGGACGCGGCCGCGGAACCCATTAGGGAGACTGAGAGAAGTAGTGGTAACATGTTGGTGATCAACTCGGGGTCGAATCAGACGGGTGCTTGCTGTCCGAGCAGAGACAGAAACGTCGGGATACAGACATGTCGATGAGATTTATACAGCTCGAGTGGTTGAAGCAAATATCGGGCTTCTGCAACTTGTATTCCGCATTTGTGTTACCGCGCGGCGCGAATCCGGGGGTTCACCGTTTGCTCAGCCGCAAGGCCAAGAGAAAACAAGCACGGCGCCATTGGGTGACCCCCGGCTGCCAAGACCAGTCCATTGACGGGAAGAGATTGGCTTGGCCAGCTGAAGCTCCCGCTGTCCCACGGCGGGTCTAGCGTCCATGTTTGCCCTGGAAGTGCTGTTGGTATTTTTGGGCCGGCTTCGCGGTGAGGCCGCGATCGAGTCCAGCTTTGTTGGTCACATGGGTACCGACAGAGAGTGAGTTGGAGTTGTCGTGATTCTCGAGCCTTGCGACATAACTGATATCCGGGCATATTGGTGAGAACCGCATCGGCGATTTCGCTTCTCATTGTTCCTGAAACCCAGACTCCCCGGGCATTTGTGATGGAACCGAGAACCCTTGAAGTGAGATGAGGGAAGGCAAGACGACAGTTGTTGTTCAGAATACGGCTCCCTTCCACGATACAATTAAAGATTTCTCGGAGAAATCGCTTTACACCTTCCCTTTCTGTATCGACATTATCGTTACCCAACGGTGGACAAGGCCCGGAGCATCCACTCCTTCCGGTGTTCTAGACTTGGCCAGAATCGGGCATCTCTGCGGCTCCGCCATCCCGGTGCCCGCCCACCCGGCGCAAGCCCACAGCCCCCAGCTGAAACCCCAGAACCGGAACCCCTTTCCCAGCACGGCAGTCGCCTGCGATCCAGCCAATAGGAGAGTTGCTTGCTACTCGTCTTACACAGCCCGTCTGAGGGAGCCGATACGTTTGTGTTAGATAAACTTTTCCTTGAAAAAACATGTCGAATATTCGCTGCTCGGTGGTATTTGCAGTTGCAACTCAATCCATGCCAACGTACGAGCGCCTTTGAAAGGAACCGGGATTCAGAGTCGCCTGCTGAACGGAATGGAATTGCTCTCTTTAGGTTGGGAGGGGCGAGTGAACATATACCTGCCAAAAAGAAAACGGGGTCATGATTCCTTATATACCGACCGACATCCTGTAACCCGTCGTTATCCTAATCCCTACTGTAAACCCTACTGAGTCTTCTCCGCCTTCAGCGCATCCCTCCGGCTGGTGCTGGCAGGGTCAAAATACGGCTTCTCTCCCAAGCTCACCGCCCGGCTACCCTTGCGCTCGCCCAGGCCGTCCTCAAATACATAATCCGGTGTAGCCGCGTGGTAGACGCTGCGGTTGTCCCAGATGGCCACGTCGTTCTCGGCCTGCCAGCGGAAGCGAACTTGCAGGTCGTGGTTCTCGACGATCAGCTTCACAAACCAGTCGAGGAAGTGCTTGCTCTCCTCCTCCGACAGGCCGTGGATGCGCTTGACATGGTGGCCCACTGCGAACACGGATTTCCAGCCAGTGACCGGGTTCGTGCGGATCACGGGGTGCACCGCTTCCAACGTCTCGCCCACGTTCTCAGGCGCGCCGCGCTCACCAGCGAAGATCTCAAAGTTGTTGCGCTTCGCCGCATCGTTGAACAGGGGCTGGGCGTAATAGGCCGTCAATGTGTCCAGGAAGCCGCGCAGCGTCGGCGAGATGCGATCGTAGAGCTCATAGCCCGAGGCCCACAGCGTGTCTAAATTAGCCTTGTTAGCTTCTCAAGACGCTATCAGTCAAACGAATTAAAACATACCACCGCCGGTCTTGGGCAGTTGTGTCAGGCGGAGCAGCGCGTAGTCGCTAGGAATCGGCTCAAAGGTGATATCAGAATGCCACTGGCCCTTGGCGCTCTGGCGACGGTCGCCGCCCCAGCTGTTGAAGAAACGGTCCGCGTAGAGCTTCTTGGCCTGCTCCGACGAGATGACGCTGATCTGGTTGTCCTTGCCTCCGTACTCACGCGCTGCATTGCTGATGGGGTGGATATGCAGGCCCGACGTGGCCGGCTTGCCGGAGAGCTGACCGAGCCGTTGAACAAGCTCTTTTTGAAGATCGTCGGTCAGGTTGTCTTGTGCGCGGAAGAAGACAACTCCACGCTGCGAGACTGGTCCGTGTTAGTCATCACATTGTCAAAAGGTGAGGGTGTTCCGTACTAGTAATGGCCAGATCGCGGAGCAGCTCATCGGAGTTGGGAGCACGAAGCCACTTGACTAGGTCGACGCTCGAAAATTCACGGCCAATGACGGGCGTGACATCAAAAGACGAGAACTGGTCAAGGATTCCGCTCAGTTTGAGTGGCTCCTTGTGGTCCTCTAGTCGCTGGGGAAGGGCATCTCCAGCAGTTGCGGGTTTCCCGTTGTTGCCATTGGCACCGTTGCTCGTCTCAATAGGCTTCACTGCGAGAGACTCGGCGGTATCGGTCTCGACTTCTTGCTTCTCTTTGACAGGGACCACCTTGGCTTTAATCTCCTCGACAGCCTGTTGGGCGGATTCGACGGCGGAGGGAGACATGATTGGGGTAAAAGATATGGGGGCTGTATAAGAGCGAAGAAGAGTATCTTTCTGGATATTTCTGGATTTAAGATTTCAGAGTGTTGATCTTGAATGGTTTGAGCGAATGGGTGTCGATCAATGTAGTACTTATACCACGGACAGCAAATACTCAACGGCCGGAATTGCATC